TGTGTCTGGCTTGCTGCCCAGAGGGACAACGTGGGATAGGATCTTCCGCAGAGGCAAGCAAGAGGTTATCCTCTCCAGGGCATCTCCCTGCTCCAGTGATGGCAGGGCTGTGCTCCAGACAAAAGGCACCAAGAGATAAGAATTAGTTACTTCTTTTGTGCTGTTACAGCCATCTACGCTGGCATCATACATTGGCATTAATGACTTGCAAATGTGCTCTGGTCATTAAGGTAATAACTCTTGTCACTGTGGAAGCCAGAGTGTGGCAATATCAGAGCAGCTTTTTAGGACTCGGCAGCCGCTGTAGCAATGCTCTATTCCAGCTGCTTTATCTTACACTTTGCGTGACTTAGAGCTTGAGTACCTTTAGGCAGGGCATAGGCACTTGCAGTATGTTCCTCCAGACTGTACTATGGATGTGACCATGCATAATGGCATATAGCACTAGTTGTGCATTGCAAGCCCTCCCCTTCCCTCCCTGCAAGAGGGGTGAGGGAAGAAACCAGTGGCAGTAGGCAAGAAGCGGGAAGAGAACAGCGTGGCTGGGGGACGCTGAACACCTATGTTGTGCTGGAAGCCGTCTGTGGCTGCTGTTAGGTGGGTGTGCCTTCTGCCGGCAAAGCCAGGTGCTATTAAAGCCAAGTGAGAGCCCGCTCTCCAGCTGCAGGAGTGCCAGCATTAGCAGCCATGTCCCAGTGGTGCGAGTCCCTGTCTCAGCACTGCCCAGGTGAGTCTGCTCTTAGCCTGGAAAGTGTGAGATGCAGCGGCAGGACTGTATCTACATCCCGGGCTGTGCTTTGGGATGTAGCTGTGCACCTTTAAATGAAAACATAGGTAATCAGACTTCAGAAGAGATTATTTAGGCCCTAGTCTCCTCTTATTCTCTCTGTGTATCACTGCAGATTTCACTGAAGTGACTCCAATTTACACCCCATCAGGGACGGAAGAGTTAGCTCTTGCATTTTTAGCTGTAGTAAATTATTTTTAGAAACCACAGCATTCATCATGAAAGGCTCTCTGCCTCCTCTTGCAAGGAAGGACTGAATAATGAATGAATACAGAGTTGGACTAATATCTACGGCTCAGCCATCCATGTGAGCAGACTGAGCAGATTGCATGTGTGCTGCTAGTGGGCAAGCTTGCGTGAGTCTGCATCTTGCGAGCACCAGCATGTCCAGAAGCCCTGTCTGCTCCTTCCTGCCCGGTACAACTACAGCCTTTAATTGCTCTGACCCACCTCCTCTGGGGCTTTGGATCATGAGATGCATTTAAGCTCAAATGTGAGTCTTTGGCCTTTGCTTGAGCTGGGTTGTTGGCATGCTTTGCCTGGCCTTGTACCTAGCTGATTTGACCTTGGACCTGCCTTATCACCGTGGACTTGTCTGGCAATCTGGACTGTTGGCCCTGGTTACCATCACTGCATCTGCCCCTCTTGCTTGGGTACTGTGGGACTATGCTCTTGCTGGTGACAGTCCTGCCCTATTGTCACCCTTGGCTTGCCTGCCCCTGAAAAGCAGCCCCACTTGAGCTGCTCCCTGACTCCTGGAACCCTGAGATGAGATCCCTGGTCCTGGCTCTGAACCTCTGCCCCCACAGCTCCCCATGGCCCAAGGCTGACCTCCAAATCCTGCAGGACCCTGGGGCAGATCACAACCCTGCAAGACTCTGACATTCCCTGCAACCATAATGACCCCTGAACGCTTCAGTGGGGTTTGGGAAAGGCTATGGGAGTTTATTTGTCAGATGTGGCTAATCTTTGCTGCCTACCTGGAAGGACTACATTTCAAATATTAGTTGCTCAATGAAAATAATGGATGGATGCCCCAATGAGGCTGCTTAGAGCAATTAGACCCTCTTTATGTGCTTGGAGTCTGAATAATCTGCCTTTTTTAAGGACTGGAAGCACTTGCTTTGGAGAGAAAACTTTGAAAAGCACTTCCTTATGCCCTGACTCCTTGTTGCAGCTGAGCTCCAGGTGCTTGGTACACAAACCTTACAAAAGTGCTGCCTGTAAACTTTGGTCATGCCTGGTGTTTAGCCCTGTCTTATCCTCACAGATGTTGCCCTTCAGCCAGGTTGAACAGTTTAATTCTTCAGGCCCATAACTATTTCAGGTCATGTACTAATGGGCTTGAAATCAGTTATTGTGCAGGGAATGATAAATGACTGTACACTGCAGCTAATGAAGGGGATAGATTATTGGGTTATAAATCAATTAAGTGGTTCCGAGGAAGTTGCAAACTGCAAGAAGAAACCATGAAGGGAGAGAAAAACATCCGATGTCTGGGGAAGAGTAGGAGCCATCAGGTGCCATCAGCCATTGCGTTATCCCTCGAGGGAAGCAGAACAAGACCGCCCTGCCGTAACCCTCTTTGGTCTGTCAGTGGTTGCTGAGGAGGGAACCTGGCGTGCTCTGTGGTTATCAGGGGGGTAACCGGCAGCATGCTGCCTCTTCCACGAAATAAATCCTGCCCTGCCTGTGCAATCTTAAGGTGTCAACATGTCCTGCTCTTCCTCAGGTGGTCTGGATTTGTTTTGGAGCGTGGCCAGAACTGGCTGTGGTGACTGTCTACAGGGGCTGCCGCTCCAGACACATCTGCCAGATGTGTCCAGAAAGGGATGCATCTACCGCAATTCATATTCCCAGCAGATCAACAAGCACCTGTTGACTCTGCAGCATCGGATTTTTCCCTGTTTGGGAGACTGCTCTCCTTTGGGAGAATGTTAAAAGGGTTAATGGGCACCCTGTAAGCCCTTGGCACAGCAATCTCCAGTGGTGGTGTGCTCGTACCAGCTCAGAGGGTAGGGATGGTCTGGGCACTTGTGACCAAGTCCCCTCTGAGTCCCTGTGTCACAAGGACAGACCTTGCCTGAAGGACACCCATCATGTACAATAGGGGCTAGCTGGGAGCATGTCTCCTGAGTGTGTGGGATGAGGTTCATTACTGTCCCACCATGCAGTGGTCTCAGCATGGCCAGGCCAGAGAATCCTCAGAGACCTGGCACCTATGTTAGTCCTACCAGCCCACCCCTCCAACAAATGGCCTGAGAAAACCTCAGTTTCTGGGAGTTTTGCTATTCTCTGGGACTTTGTCCAAATTCAATATTATCCTTTATCGGAGACAGGCAATCTCACGTATGAAAGTTTTGTTCCTCTTTTCTTTGCAATAGGCTCGAACTGCCTCCTGTGCACAGCATAGCATGGGGAGGATGGTAGAAACAGAGGAAAACATGCACAAATGCAGTTCTTGGTAAGTATGGGCAGAGTGGTGGGGCTTAGCCTTG